AATGATGGCTTGCTAATGCCTACCATATCCTACTCAGAAGCCCAGTTCTGCTTTCCCAGAAATGAAAAAGATATTTAGCATTTCAAGCTATAATTTGACTTCCTATAATTAGAACTAGAGTAAAGAAGACTTTTTATAGGTAGAAATACCTTAAAAGTGAATAAACAGTTAAATTACACCTAGAAGTTTGTGACAGTTCAAATCCTCTGTTGTTAAAATGCTTACAGTTTTTCAAGATTTGTCATAAAATAAATATGATTGCTTAAACAGCTAAGAATATCTAAGAGCATCATGTCACAATCAGAAGTTTGTCTAGAACTTTAATATTTTGATTATCAGTAGCATTTAGTGATTATGTTGGCAGTAATCAGTGAATTATTCATTCATCACCTTGTTTCTGTCCAGATTCGTGTTCTTGTGCAGGAACGTGGTGCTCAAAACAAGCGGATCCAGGATCTGGAAGCTGAGTTGGAGAAGATGGAAGCAAAGCTAAATGCTGCCGTCAGGGAAAAAACATCTCTCTCTGCAAGTAATGCTTCACTGGAAAAACAGCTTATTGAATTAACCAGGACTAATGAGCTACTAAAATCTAAGGTATTTGAACCTCATGATAATATTTACAATTGAATAAATAATAAACTTTTTTTTTTCTTATATAGCTGTTTGGGAATTTTAGGCCTAGATTAGTCATTTTCCTTCACTAAATGTACTTTAAATAATAAGCTGCTTCCAGTAAGAATTATTATTTCATCTTTTTTTATTTTGGTGCCTGGCACATAAGAGGTTATAAACAAAAAAGTTTACTTTTTGTTTTAATGTCTGACACTTTTTCACCTTCTTCAAAGTCACCCCCAATAAATAAGGCCACTAATAAATGTTGCAGAATTTACATCTAGAAGTATCTTTAAAGATCTTTCTCTGAAATAAATAATAGCATAATAGCAAGCTTCCATCTCAAATCCTTTTGGAAATATAGTGGGAAATGAATAATTGTGTGGACTAAATGTGTTCAATAGATAAATTGTATTTATCAATATTAATATACTAATGATCTTAAAGGACTTAACATGGTCGTCTTGCTTTTTTACAGAAGTAGAAGGAAGCTGTAAATCACTCTTCAGCTTAATAAGAGTCATTTATTCAGGACCTGTAATGTGCTGGGCTCTTTGATTACAAAGGGAGTAAGAATGCGTAAGAATTAAGCACGGGGAAGGGAGCAGATTCCTAGGCCCCACTCAGGGAGATTCTGATTTATTAGGCCTGCGATGGACCCTATAGTCTGCATATTTCAAAGTAGACCAAACAATGCAGATGCATTTTGTTAAGCAAACACACTTTACGAAATTCTCTCCAAGAAGCTTGTTTTAGAGCCACACAGTGGACTTTCTAGCATATACAGATAAACGACCACTGAAGCTGATTTCAAAAGTAGACCAGAAAGTCACATGAAGGAAAAGGAGAGACAAGAACAGTAGTAGTGTAAAACCAGTAATCGTGGCTCTTTTCTCTACCAGAGTATGTTGTAGGCAAATAATAGTCCCAATAATAGATAATCAATATTTAAGTGATTTTTTTACAGGACTTAATAGAAAATATTTCTCGATTTTTTATGTTCGTTATACTTAGTTTTCTGATGATAGTAACCAGAAGAATTTGAGAATTCTAAGCCTTGAGTTGATGAAACTTAGAAACAAAAGAGAAATAAAGATGAGGGTGAGTGATACCTTTGGTAAGTTTGCTGTGTTTGGAGTGGGGGATCTGAACAAGTTCTCATTTCCTAAAACAGATATTTCTGTTGTGTAGAGCATGATGGCTAAACAAGAAGGCATGGAGGTGAAGCTGCAGGTTACCCAGAAGAATCTCGAAGAGTCTCAGGAGAAAATAGCACAACTTGAGGGGAAACTGTGAGTGACTAAAAGGAAAGAGATTCCTTTGTATAACCAATTTGTGTGTGTGTGTGTGTGTGTGTGTGTGTGTAACCAATTTTTGATTTACCTTTCTTGGCTAGTTATTGTTTACTGAGACTTTAACCTTCCCTTCATACTTACCTCATTGCCTGCCTCTACTTGCCCTATTTCTCTTCCTAAGTGACAGTTGAGCCCTAATCATTCCCAAACATTTTATGCTGAAAGATGTATGAATGTATTACTTTTGTACATCTTCTATATCAATAATGAGGAAAGACTCATGGTCTTTCTAACAACATAATCTTATGGAGGTTGTAGTGAGACCAAAACTGAGAAGTATTGGTATAGGGAGCTGTGATGAATGCACAATCCTAGCCTTCTTTGTATTACTCAGCTGTAATTCATATACAGTAAAATGCACAGATCATAAGTATTCAGTTTAGTGACTTTTGACAATTGTATACACCTGTATAACCACCACCCAAATAAGGTAGAGAGTGTGGCCATCCCCTCAGAAAGTTCCTTCGTGCTCCTTCCTGCTCCCCTGTTCCTCCCCCATGGCTGCCCCCGTACCCCTGCAACCACTTTCTGACTTCTGTCATCGTAAATTAGTTTGCCCTTTTTGGGGACATTTATTACCACATGCATGCATATGTGTGTATATGTGGCTTCTTTTGTTTAAGATAATTTTTTGAGATTCAGCTGTACTGTTGGGTGTATTATAATTTGCTCCTTTCATTTCTGAGTAGTATTCCATTATATGAATATACCTCCATTTGTTTATTATTCTCCTATTGATCAATACTTGGGTTTCCAGTTTTTTACTATTATCAATAAGTCTACTATATATGCCTTTTTGTAGACACAGGCTTTTATTTCTCTGAGTAAATATCTAGGAGTGGAATTTCTGTGTCATAGGGTTGTATACATATAACATTTTTTAAAACACTCAAAGTGGTTTTGCTGTTTTACACTCCCACCTAACAATGTGTGATAGTTTCATCTGTTCCATATCTTCATCAACATTTGATGTTGTCATCTATTTGATTTTGGCCTTTCTAGTGGATGTGAAGTAGTATCTCATTTGTGATTTTATTTATTTATTTTAATTAATTTATTTTATTTATTCTTAGCTGCGTTGGGTCTTCACTGCTGCATGTAGACTTTTCTCTAGTTGCGGTGAGCGGGGGCTACTCTTCATAGCAGTGCACGGGCTTCTCATTGCTGTGGCTTCTCTGTTGCAGAGCACAGGCTCTAGGCGCATGGGCTTCAGTAGTTGTGGCGCGTGAGCTCAGTAGTTGTGGCGCACGGGCTTAGTTGCTCCGTGGCATGTGGGATCTTCCCGGACCAGGGCTCAAACCCATGTCCCCTGCATAGGCAGGTGGATTCTTAACCACTGCACCACCAGGGAAGTCCCTCGTTTGTGATTTTAATTTGTTGTTATTAATGTCGAGCATCTTTTTATGTGCTTACTAACCATTCATATATATCCTTTTGTAAGGTGTCTGTTTGTTGCTTGCCTGTTTCTCAAATTGTGGTGTTTGGAGGAGGTAAACACATAAGTAACTGAATATAAGGCAGCCTGGAACAAAGTCTTTGTGGCACACAAAATGCTATTTTGTATGTGTGGGGTGTGGGGAAGCTAGGAAAGCTACAGAAAAGATGATTTCTGTTACACTTGGAGTGTTGCAGAGGATGACTCTCATCATCATAACCCTTTTGTCAGAATATATTTGGAAAGCTTTCTTACTTAAAAATAAAAAACTTGAGCCTCCTATTTGCATATATTAAATTGTCAACTTGAAGGGTCACATAAGTGAATGGTTAGGAGTTTGGACTCCGGAGTCAGCCTACCTGAGATAACAGTATGATACAGAGTAAGCATTATGCGTGATTATTGTGTATATTAATATGTGCAATTTTTTTTTAGTATTTCAATAGAGAAAGAAAAGACTGATGAAAAATCTGAAACAGAAAAACTTTTAGAATACATCGAAGAAATAAGGTAATATGAAGAGTAGTTTTAAATTGGACTTTATTTTGTTGAACTGTGATGAATACATCATTTCATCTCTTTTCATTTAATGTTCCCTATGCTTAAATAGATGTGCTCTTCAACATAATTTGTTTTAATGCAGTTGTGCATCAGATCAAGTGGAAAAATACAAACTAGATATTGCCCAGTTAGAAGAAAATCTGAAAGAGAAGAATCATGAAGTTTTAAGCCTTAAGCAGTCTCTGGAGGAAAATGTTGCTATATTGTCTAAACAAGTAGAAGATGTGAATGCTAAATGCCTGCTGCTTGAAAAAGAAAAAGGTATTCCACTGTTTACAGTACCACTTTCTTTAGATAAGTACTACCAATGATATTTTTTAAAAGTACTGCTATGTTATAACAACTTTCTAAAATAATTATATAAACAACAAAAATTTTGTTCTATGTTTGGGAATTTTTGTCTTTTATGATATTTGTTATCTGTTTATTTCAATATATTTCTTGTCTTGATTGAAATATATATGGTTGTGCAGTTCTTGACTTCCCCATTGGGTGGCCATTTAAAATTGGTAGATACATAGAACTAGGTTTGGGTGTTTTATTATATAATATACATACTATTTTATATATAGTAATCATACCAACTTCAGAGTTATTTTTCCCCCCTTTGGAAATACTTGATCTCTGTTACATGCTACAAAGCAGTATAGTGGAATATTATGGGAATCTGGGTTTCTCAAAGTTAATATTACTATCTAATTACAGCATTGTTAATGTTCTCCCTTTTCTAGAAGACCTCATCAATAGGGACAGAGAACAGGATGAAAATCTAAACTCTGAGATACAAAACTTAAAAGAGAGGTCTGTTCTTGAACAACAGGAACATGAAGAGCTACAACAAAAAGTATTGCAAATTGATTCACTTCTGCAACAAGAGAAGGTAGTTTACTACAATATTTTAAAACGCTAGTGCTTCTTTTAGGTAATACATTTCCCTGTGTATCAGAAAACCTTTAAATTGTATATGTCCTTTGATCCAGCAATTCTACTTCTAGAATCTTATCCTGAGGAAATAATCGTGCCTATGCTGCATATTTAACTGCTGTTCACCACAGGGTTATTCATAATGTGAAAAAATTCAAGCAACAGTTGAAGCAAAATAAGGAAATTGTTTTAAAAAATTTTTCAGCACATTCTTGTGTTAGATTACTACATAGGCATTTACAGTTCTATGGTAAAAGAGTGTCTAATTAGACAAGAAAGGAAACTGACAGTTTTTTAAAATGCAGATTACATAAAGAACACTTTACATATCAATGAGGAAAAAAAGACAATTCACTAAAAAAAAAAAATAGGCATAGGATGGAAATTTATAATTCTTAGTAGTAGAAATTCAGATAGCTTTGGGACTTCCCTGGAGGACCAGTGATTAGGACTCCATGCTTCCACTGCAGGGGGCCCAGGTTCGATCCCTGGTCGGGGAAGTAGGATCCCACAAGCTACATGGTGCAGCCAAAAAATTTTAAAAATTAAAAAAAAAAAGAAATTCAAGTAGTCTGTAAACACGAGAAGATGCTCTACCTTAGTAGTAATCCCAGAAATAGAAATAATTTGTTTTTGTCACTTACAAGATTGGCACATATTAAAACATTTACTAATATGACACATTGGTGAGAGTTGGGCAAGCAGGCATTCACATGCACATGAAATATTGTATCGTTGGGCAATCTGCAACAACAAAGGAATTAAGTAGATCTGTATATATTGACTTGAAAAGATCTCAACTACTATTTTTATGATATTTTAAATGACCTTTACATACACAGTATATATCATTTACACTTTAAGTATATAAATATATAGAAAAAGACCATAAGGCATAGAATACCAAACTAGTGGTTATCTCTGGAATGGGAAAACTAAGGTTAGAATACGAGTAGGCAATTTTCATTTTATTTGTAATGTTAGAATTTTTTCACAAGTGATTTATTTGTATTTATTTATTCATATTTACTCATATAACATTAAAATATTTTATATAACATTGAAATCATAGTACTCTTTATATAAATCATATGAGAAAAATGATAAAAGTCAGTTGTAGATATGATTTTGGTTTTCTAAGTGTGTGTGTGTGTGTTTGTGTCTGTGTGTCTGTGTGTGTGTTGCGTAGGAAAAAAGACTGAAATAGCATTTACCATAATGTTAACAAAGTGTAGGATATAATCCATGATAAAATAAATATATCTCTCTATTTTTCAAGTTTCCTGGAGGCTGTTGAACTTAGTGTCCATACTTCATCATCTGTACTTCTTTTTTGCCCTTAGTAAAACCTCACAAATCATTCAGTTTAATTTAATTATTTATTAAATTTTCAAAAGCTTTCAAATTATTTTGATGGTTTTCTATTTGGATGCAGGAATTATCTTCTAGTCTTCAACAGAAGCTATGTTCTTTTCAAGAGGAAATGGTTAAAGAGAGGAATCTCTTTGAGGGAGAATTAAAGCAAGCACTGGATGAGCTAGATAAATTACAGCAAAAGGAGGAACAAGTTGAAAGCCTGGTCAAGCAATTGGAAGAAGAATCAGAATCTAGAGGTGAAGAACTCAAACTCATAGAAGAAAGGCTGAAAGGGTTTGTATTAATAGGACTTCATTTTTATATATGACTTCAGATGTTGACAAGTGTTTTCTAGTACATTCTCTCAGGATTCTCACACCAATCATGTGAGTGGTGAGGTTGGAATTATTTTACAAATAAGGGATAAACACAGACAGGTAAAGTACATGCACAGGATGTGCATATAAACAAGTATGACAGCCAAAGTCAGAAGCCATGCCCTTTCTTTATTTAAGGCCCAAGGTTTAACTAAACAGAGTTTTAATAACCAAAATTTTGTATTCCTATACTGCTCTTATATTTTCTAAAAATTATTGGACATTAGCATTACAATGATAACAGATTTAGAAAAATACCCAAAATAATAAGATTCCCACCCTTTAATAAGAAACATTTCCATTTTTTGTCCATATGTGCATCATAGTGTAAGTTATACTTTTAATTACCTCTTTTGAGGGAGCACAAACACTTCAGAAGTAACAGTCAAAAAGCACAATGGGAAAAAAACAACCAGAACTGGGAAACATTCCAAAATAAAAAATTTGTCATTAAAAGTAGAAAGCCTGGGGCTTCCCTGGTGGCGCAGTGGTTAGGAATCCGCCTGCCAGTGCAGGGGACATGGGTTCGAGCCCTGGTCCGGGAAGATCCCACATGCCATGGAGCAACTAAGCCTGTGAGCCACAACTACTGAGCCCACGTGCCACAACTACTGAAGCCCGGGCACATAGAGCCTGTGCTCTGCAACAAGAGAAGCCACCACAGTGAGAAGCCTGTGCACCTCAGCAAAGAGCAGCCCCCGCTTGCTGCAACCAGAGAGAGCCCACACGCAGTAACGAAGACCCAATGCAGCCAAAAATAAAATAAATAAATTTATAAAAAAATAAGTAAATAAATAACCTCAGTCTCCAAAGCCAGAAAGAGGAGGAGGACAATTTCAGGTAGACAAAGCTAGTGGGTTTAAAAATAAAAAAGTAGAAAGCCTAAGATCTCATGCTTTTTTTTTTTTTTAAACTCTTTATTCCATACTATTTTCATCACATTATAGGTCCTTCTCCACTACATTTATTTAAATGGATTGAGGGACTTCCCTGGTGGCGCAGTGGTTAAGAACCCACCTTCCAATGCAGGGGACAGGGGTTCGATCTCTGGTCAGGGTATTAGATTCCCACATGCGTGCTGCAACTAAGAATTCACATGCCACAACTAAGGATCTGCATGCCACAACTAACAAGCTGCAACAAAGGAGCCCACCTGCCACAACTAAGACCTGGCACAACCAAAATAAATAAATAAAATAAAAATTAAAAGTTTAAGTTGTTAAAAAAAAAAGAGAGAGCTAATAAATACAAAAGGTATAAAAACAAAATAAAACAAAAATATCTGGGTTGATTCTTGAGTTCAATTTGTGAATAAATATTTGAATCCTTGGGATTTCAGCAGTAAAACATTTTCTAGCAAGGAACCATGGACTAGACATAAAGCTACAGAATTGCCACTTATTTCACAAGTGTTTATCTATCTCTTATTAGGTACTTTTGTTATTAATCCCTTTTCTGTTTTCTTTTGTTACTGATTAAAAAAACACCAAAGTGTTTTATCTATGCTTGCATTTTGGGGAACACTACCAAAGTGTACTTAGGGGGATTGTTCTATACTGCAACCAGCCTCAGGGAACAGGTACTTTAAGAAACTTGAGTGGATGATGTCAGTTTAGGAAAAAAAGATGAGATAATCATTTATTCTAACTTAACGAACTCAGTCCAGAGGTCAGGAGATAAGGATTTTATTCCTAGATCTGTTAACTAGTTGTGTGATTCTGAGCAAGACAATCTTAATTTCTTTTATTTTCTGTTTTATTAGATATAAAATAAAAGAGTTTTACGAGATCATTTCTAAGGTTCTTTCCAGCCTGGAAATTTCAAGCTTAAGAGAAAAACTTAGAAGTTGACAACAATTCCTCTAGGGGGCAGGAAAGAGAATATTTTTATTATAAACCCTTTAGTACTAGTTGATTGCTTTTAGCTGTGGTATATATTTTTTAAACCCTATACTTATTACAGAATGAATTTGATCAACTATCTTGTCTCAGTGTCCAACTTAGTCTGTAAGTGAGTAATGCTTCTTACTTACAGTTTTTATTAGTTCTTTAAAAGATCTCTTATAAGCTCATATGCCTATCAAAAAAGTTGTATCACCATTGTGGTAATATGTAAGATTAATATTTTTTAAAATCTCTATAGATTTGTAGTATATATTTATAAAGATATCTTAAAAGCCATTCTGTCTATGCAAAATAGTCTACTAAATAAGTTGTTGAATCTTTGGATAATTAACAATTTATTATGTGGGTAATTGGTATAATCAGAATAAATCCACATAGTTCTGTAACTCTGTTTTCAAAAGAACTCTTAAAATGAAGTTAACTGTACCTAGTGTTCCTTAAATGTCTAAATGCAGAGAATTAAATTTTATTCAACCCTAGTGCTTTTTAACTGGTAATCCTTCACATTCTTTAGTTTTGGCTGCTATCAAGATTCTGTTTCAGAGTCTTTTTAATCTACTTTCTTCCAAAAAAGTGTTTAAACTACCTACCTAAGTATGTATGATATGAAACGATAAGTAAGTAAATTAGGATGAAAACAGAAGTAAAATAAAAGCAGGAAAGATAAAATGAAGCTGTATGTAAATGAACAGGCTATTAGATGTAGGTCATAAATTTAGGTCTAAGCTGCCAGTATCTGACATAAACATGAAGATATGGGATATATGATTCACAGTGTCAAAGGTAATCCTAGTCTCTTTCTGAGACTAATGATTTGCAGTTAACATTTTATCTTTTAACTGTTCCTTTTTCTTAGGAAAGAAGCTGAACTGGAGAAAAGTAACGCTGCTCACGCTCAGGCCACACTGCTTTTGCAGGAAAGGTATAACAGTACAGTGCAGAGCCTGAGAGATGTTACCACTCAATTTGAAAGGTATTTGTATGGGGAGACTGCACTCTCGAACATACATGAGCAAGGAGGGGTGTTTACGTAGGAACATCTGTCAACAAAACAATCACAAAAATAAAACAATTGGTATTACTTTAAATTCCATAGTGTCCAATCATAAATGGGCATTTAATGTTACCTCGTATCTTAGAATATATAGTAATTTCACTTTCCCACTACCCACTTCAAATTTCATGCATTCTCAGACCTTTGGCACTTCTGTCTGACTCTCCTGATGTCATCATTTTCCTCATGAAGAATCCAAACGCTTTTATTTCCTCTTTATCAAACCTGTAAACGCACCTGCATCTATGCTCATCCCGTCTTCCTCCCACTTATTACAGATGAAGTATCTAATTCCTTTAACCTTCAGTGACCTCATGCTATCATTTATCCCTTGTCTCATAATTTTTAGCCTTCTAGAATTTTTCAAGTCAATATTAAATCATGTTAATATGCTTTCATCTTTAAAATACATTTTTAAAAAGCTCTGTTTAACCCTCACTTCCTTCTGCAGTTATCCAATAACACCTGTCACTCCCAGCACCCTTCTTACCCCAAAATTCTACTCCTCTTCATAGCCTTTTTTTTTTTGGCCACGCAGTTTGTGAGATCTTAGTTCCCCCGACCAGGGATCGAACCCATGCCTCCTGCAATGGAAGCGTGGAGTCCCAACCAACCACTGGACCACCAGCGAATTCCCCCCATCTTCTTCTTTTTTTTCTTTTAATTTATTTTATTGAAATATAGTTGATTTACAGTGTTGTGTTAATTTCTGCTGTATTGCAAAGTGATTTAGTTATACATATATATATACATTCCTTTTCATATTCTTTTCCATTATGGCTTATCACAGGATATTGAATATAGTTCCCTGTGCTATACAGTAGGAGCTTGTTGTTGATCCATCCTATATATAATAGTTTGCATCTCATAGCCCATCTTCTTGATAGAAGATTATATACTGTATCCACTTCTTCACTTCCTATTTTTCTCACTTGTTATTTTCCCTTTTTTTGAAGTATATTTTGGAGGGGACTACAAATTGCAAAGGATAATACAACAAATACTGATATATCACACAGTCTCACACCAAGAGTATATTAATGTTAACATTTTTACTTATTGTATATACTTTATATAATTTGGGGGGAAGGGCTCTTCTTTTATCTATTTTAGTATGTTCAATAAATAGAAAAGATATACAATGTATACATAAATTATAAAGCATAAAGGTAAAGTTAACATGCATGAGCTCATAGAAGACAACCTACAGGCTAAAAGATTTTCAACCGCTTGGTATATATATGAGTTCTTCCACTATCCCATCTTCATGCCTTCATGCTTTCCTCCGACAGATAACACCATCTCAGAGTCTACATTGATTATTTCCTTGCTTTTTTTCCTGTGTATAATTTTATAGCATGTATATCCATATGAATAATATATTATCTAATTTTGTTTTTTCCTGAACTTCACCAAAAATGTCATGTAGTGTATGCCATATCCTGGGACTTGCCTTTTCACTCTGCGTTATGTATGTTTCTAGGATTGAATCACAGTGTTGCCAGTGTTCATTCATGGTCACTGTTATAGAATATTTGATTTTATCAATCTACCACTATTTATCCATTCTCAGTTTGGGCTTTTGGGTTGTTTCCCATTTCTTTCATTTTTTTAATAGTACTCTATGAATATTCTTGTGGTCTCCTAGTATACAAGTGTAAGAATTTATCTAAAGTAATATTTAAGTGAATGTTCAACCTTAAAATTTAATGCCCAATCACTTTACAAAATGGGTGTGAAAATCTACACTCCCACTAGTGATGTGTGAGTTCTCAATGATCTATCTCCCCTCCAAAACTTGTCAGACTTCATAAATTTTGCCAGTGTAATAAGTGTAAAAGAGCTTTTTCTTATGGATGATTTATCTTTCCTTTTCTGTAACAGGCTTGTATGTGACTTTTTTTCATTTCTCTCTCATTTCATTTCTTTTATTCGTTGATTTGTAGTTTTTATCAGTGATATGGGTTGCAAATATCTTCTTGCAAAGTGTGGCTTGTCTTTTCATTTTCTTTATGGTTTCTTCTTTTTTTTTTTAAAGCTTATGTCTCACTACCTCTTTTTTTATTAATTTTTATTTTGGGGGGGTAACATTTATATACAATATTGTATATGTTGTAGGTGTACAGTATCTTTTTCTGTCATACATATACATATATCTATTCATCTTTGGATTATCTTCCCATGTAGGTTATTACAGAGTGTTGATAGACCTCCTTGGTATACATAGGTCCTTGCTGATTATCTATTTTTTTCTTTATTTTTTTGGCTGCGTCGGATCTTAGGTGCAGCACGCAGGATCTTCATTGGGGCACGTGGGATCTTTCATTGCGGCATGCGGTCTTTTTGTTGCAGCACTCAGGCTTCTCTCTAGTTTAGTGTGCAGGTTTTCTCGCTCTAGTTGTGGCGCCCGGGCTACAGGGTGGATGGGCTCTATAGTTGTGGCGTGCGGGCTCCAGAGTGCGTGGGCTCTATAGTTTGCGGCACATGGGCTCTCTTGTTGAGGCATGCGACCTCAATAGTTGCGGCACTCGGGCTTAGTTGCCCCATGGCATATGGGATCTTAGTTCCCTGACCAAGGATCGAACCCGAGGCCCCTGCATTGGAAGGCGGATTCTTTACCACTGGACCATCAGGGAAGTGCCTATGGTTTCTTCTGATGAATAGAAATTCTTGATTTTAATGTGCTTAAGTTTACAAATTTTTATTGAACACTTTCACATCCAAAACTTCTTTCTATCCCAAGAACATAAAGATATTCACCTATTTTTTTTCTAAAAGTTCCAAAGTTTCACTTTTCATTTTTCCACCTAGAACTGATTTCTGTATGTGTAGTGATAAAGGGATAAAATTTACTTTTGTTTTCCCATATGGATAATCAATTGCCTAGTACCCATTCATTGACTAGTATCTTCTTTCCCCTGTGATCTGTTCCTACATCTGATATATTATGACATACATATATATATACACACACACATAATGTATGTGAGTATATATATTTTAATTATAATTTACGCATGTCAACATGAATATGAATTATATAAATTAAATATATATATAATTTTTAGTGCTATTCTCAACCCTGAAAAGCAATTTCCCTTCTTGCTATTTTAAAAAGTACTGCCTTAAGAAGTTTTCAACCATTCTATGATGTCACTCACCATCAGTATGCTAATAACATTAAAATTTATTTCTTCAAACCAGACCTATCCTTTCAGCTTCCTACCCATGTATCCAGCTTCCTACTTGACCTCTGCAAGTAGATATCTCACTATCGTCTAACATTAACCTGACCAAAACAGCTCTTGATCTCCTTTCTATCTCTTTCTCCCTCTAGTTTCTCATTCTTGTTGAGCCCAGTCAGTGATATCTCCATCTTCCGAGCTTCTCGTTCCATAAATCTTAGAGTCATCTTGATCATTTTCTCTCCCCTTCTCCCAACATCCAATCTATTTCTTGAATTTTTCAATTCTGCCTCCAAAAGAGAGCTCATATCTTACCATTGCCAACTCCTTGGTTCAAGATTCTTTTACCACTCACCTGGGCTGAAAAATAATTGTCTTCTAGTTAATCCTCCAGTTTAGCATTCCTGCCCCTTCCCCAGTCAGTTCTCCACGTGTCTCTAGAATAATCTACACACTTACTTAGAGACCTTTGAAGTCTCTCCTTTATCCCTCAGGTAAACCCACTCACTGTGCCCCACCAGTGATGACTGGCCTCATGCCTCTTGCTTCTGCCCCTGCCTCTCTTGTTCATTAGACCTCAGTCCCAGCTCTTTATGGACTGTGTTCTACCTGTCTCTGAGCACATATGCATCTTTTCCCTCTGAAATACTTGTCCCCAACTGGCTAGCTAAATCCTTCCTGTCCATCATGTCTCAGCTTAACTGTAAATTCCTCAGAAAGGCTTTTTCCATTTCTATCAGCTAATCAGCTAAGGTGTTCTGTAGTTTTCCTTCAAAACACTTACTACAAATTTAATTATATATATTTATTTTTCCATTTTTTTTTTTTTCGCAAAGACCTGTGGGGGCTTTTTTTCCCTCTCTTACCCACAGGATGATAAAGTCTGTGACAATAGGTGGAAGGATGTGTGGGCTTTTTGTTTGGGGATAATTTCAATGTTTGGTAGTTGATTTCTTTGCATCTCTAGGCCTAGTTTCCGCACATAGTAGGCACTTGACTCTTTAAATGAACAGCATGTGTCATATAAGTTCATATAAGTACTGACTTCAAAACATTGAATTCTTACCTATGCAAATGCAAAAATAGATAAGATTTTATTTGTTTTACCTAAAAGCAGCAGTTGCCAACCTTTTTGGCACCAGGGACTGGTTTCATGGAAGACAGTTTTTCCATGGGGTTGGGACTGGGAGGGGCGGGGCTGTGGTTCAGGCAGTAATGCCAGTGATGGGGAGCGGCAGATGAAGCTTAACTTGCCCGCCCGCAGCTCACCTCCTGCTGTGCAGCCCTGTTCCTAATAGGCTGCAGACCACTACCGGTCCACGGGCCAGGGGTTGGGGACCCCTGCCTAAAAGTGCATAAAATATAAGCTAATCAGCTATAGGTTTTTCATGCATACAGCAGTTAGAAAAATCCTTTAACCTTTTTTCTTTTTTATAAGCTATAAAGCATCAGCAGCAAGTGAGATAGAAGATCTTAAGGTGGAGAACATGTCACTTCACGAAAAAGTGGCCAAGGCTGAGAAAAGTGCAGAGGATGTTCAGCATGAGATATTGGCAACTGAGAATGCAAATCAAGAATACGCAAGGTATTGGGGAAAAATAAAACCTGGCGACACCTGTGACCTGAGAACCATTAAGACAATTTAATGTTGTTGAAAGCCAGCTACTAAGTGATGCAGGAAACTGTAGTCCCATGGCTTGCTTTGTGTGATCTTCAATTGCAAATTAAGAATTTACACAGTTAAAAAAGTACAATTCTTGATAGTTGCTTGAGTTAAAAAAACTAAAATGGCTGTAAATTGTTTAGTGGACTCTTCTCTCTCAAACCCAAGGATGCTTCTAGATCTGCAGACCAAATCAGCACTTAAAGAAGCAGAAGTTAAAGAAATCACAGTTTCTTCTCTTAAAAAAATAACTGATTTGCAGAACCAACTCAAGCAACAAGGCGAAGACTTTAAGAAACAACTGGAAAAGGGAGAAGCAAGGTAATTTAGGTTTAGAACCGAAATGCCATGTGTCTCAGTTATTTTTTCTAGTATACTGTGGTTTAAAATTTAATTTTCCCTTACAGAAAAGCTGGAAAAGAAAAATCAATGGCAGAATTAACTGAGGAAATGAATAAGTGGCATCTCCTCTATGAAGAATTATATAATAAAACAAAACCTTTTCAGGTCTGTCAATTAGGACTTAGCTTACTTGTATTTAAGAATTCATGTTGTTCCCTGTCAGTCATGAAAGTGACATGGTTCTTCTGAAAGATCATTTTGCTGTGCATTTACAGTAACAATTTAACTTCCTATTTTAAAAAGCCTATAAATTTTATTGCATTATTATGCATTCTTTTTTTTTTTTGGCTGCCTTGGGTCTTCGTTGCTGCGTGTGCGCTTTCTCTAGTTATGGTGAGCGGGGGCTACTCTTCATTGCAGTATGCATGCTTCTCATTGTGGTGGCTTCTCTTGTTGCGGACCACGGGCTCTAGGTGAGTGGGCTTCAGTAGTTGCAGCATGCGAGCTTAGTAGTTGTGGCATGCAGGCCCTAGAGCACGCAGACTTCAGTAGTTGTGGCATGTGGGCCCACGCACCTAGAGCCCATGCTTCTCAGCAAGAGAAACCACCGCAAAGAAGAGCAGCCCCTGCTCGCCGCAACTAGAGAAAGCCCGTGTGTAGCAACGAAGACCCAAGGCAGCCAAAACTAAAAATAAAAATTTAAAAATTACCTTTTAATAAGCTTCTTAAAGTTAATAGCTTAGAAGGCTCTCCTGATGTGAACTTTTGATAATTAAGCTATGTAAATTTGTGACACTTACTTTGTTATGATTTTTCTCAGTGTTTATCTAATATGCTGATCGTAAAAGGATAAATGCTAATCTTGGTAGTTAAATAGAGTCAGAAGACAGTATTAGTTATAATGGGGTGATGTGGCTGATACAGATTAGGCTGGCTAGCAGGGCTTCTTTCCTCATTTCTTTCCCTCTGTTTTAATAATGATCTTTGAAATGAAAAACAACTTTTTTAAAAAAGAGTCAATTTAGAAAAAAAAAAGTCAATTTGTGGAGAACCCTAAGAGTAAGTCAGCATAATCTTTTTTTTGTCTTTTGCCTTTTTATTTTCTTTCACTTTAGTTGTACTTATAGTTTATATGAGTCAAGTAAGATTTAACAGTTTTAAATCTTAACTTTATAAAAAAATATATTTTTCAGCTACAACTGGATGCATTTGAAGCAGAGAAACAGGCTTTGTTGAATGAACATGGTGCAGCTCAGGAGCAGCTAAATAAACTAAGAGATTCGTATGCTAAATTATTGGGTCATCAGAATCTGAAGCAAAAAATCAAGCATGTTGTGAAATTGAAAGATGAAAATAGCCAACTCAAATCGGTTTGTAAAATCACATTTAGTTCTGCTGATATTGATATTGGGGTGCGGTGGGTTTTATTTTATTAGGGTAGTGCTGACCTCATAAAATGAGCTGGGAAGTGTTTCATCCTTTCCGTTTTTTTGGAATAGTTTGTGAATAACTGGTATTAATTCTTTATTGAATGTGTAGTAGAATTCAGTGGTAAAGTCATCTGGACCTGGGCTTTTCTTTGTGGGTGGTTTTTTGATTGCTAGTTTAATCTATTTGCTTATTAGAGGTCTATCAGATTGACTGTTTCTTTTTGAGACAGTTTCAGGAGTTTGTGGATTTCTTGGAATTTGTTCATTTCATTTTAGTTATTTGATTTGTTGGTATACAGTTGTTCATAATATTCCCTTACAATCCTTTTTATTTTAGTAATATCAGTAGTAATGTCCCCTCTTTCATTTCTGATTCTAGCAATTTGAGTATACTCCCTTTTTTTAGTTCCTTTACTTCTGCGAACATATTTATAATGGCTTTAAAATCTTTTTTGGATAAATTCAATATCTGATTACTCTCTTGGACAGTTTTTGTTGCCTGCTTTTTCCCAGTATATAGGTCATGCTTTCCTGTTTGCATACTTTGTAATTTTTTGTTGGAAAATGGATGTTTTAGATAAGATGTGGTAGCACCTCTGGGTACTGCTATCCCTTTCCAGGTATGTTGTTATTTCTTATTTAGTGAAGTCTATTCCTCCTCCCCAGCCCCAGTAGTTTGTGCCTCTGATGTTGCTACTGAGGAAGGTTCAGTTTGGGGTGTGCCCACAGTCACCCTGAGATGACTTTGGTTTTGGTAAGGCTGTCTTCCTCTCTCCCCAAACACTCATAGCTGCTGGCTTATCCCTCTGTTATTTTCAACAATGCCCTGGGGCATAATAAGTTGCTGTACAGACTAATCCAGTCTAATTCTGGCTCCTTTGTTGGAATTGTGTCTTAGGTCAGTACTCCAGGAGGGCTCCTCTCTCTCCTCTCATTCAGCAGTTCTCCTCTACAAAGCAGACAGCCTACCATTTAGCCTACATTTTTTTTTTTTTTTTTTTTGGTACCTCAGTAGTTGTGGTTTGCAGGCTCTAGAGCTCTAGAGCTCAGGCTCAGTAGTTGCTCCGCGGCATGTGGGATATTCCTGGACCAGGGCTCAAACCTGTGTCCCCTGCATTGGCAGGCGGACTTTTAACCACTGCGCCACCAGGGAAGTCTTAGCCTACATTTTGAATCACTTTCCAATTCCCTTGCACCACAAACTCTACTATTCTATTTTTTTTTTTTTTTTTTTGGCTGCATTGGGTCTTCATTGCTGCGCACAGGCTTTCTCTAGTTGCGGCAAACAGGGGCTACTCTTCGTTGCAGTTCATGGGCTTCTTATTGTGGTGGCTTCTCTTGTTGCAGAGCACGGGCTCTAGACGCATGGCCTTCAGTAGTTGTGGCACACGGGCTCAGTAGTTGTGGCTCACGGGCTCTAGAGCACAGGCTCAGTAGTTGTGGCACACAGGCTTAGTTGCTCTGCGGCACGTGGGATCTTCCCGGACCAGGGCTCGAACCCGTGTCCCTACGTTGGCAGGTGGATTCTTAACCACTGCGCCACCAGGGAAGTCCCTCTACTGTTCTTGAGAGCACCCTTCAGCTTGAACTTCTCTAAGCTCTGTTGCAAGTGAAGTCAGTTCCTTTGGGAATAAATTAGGAGCTCTGTATTTTATAGCCTGCTTCTCCCACCAGGCAAAATTTCTCAGCCCAGGCTTCAGAGCTGGATTTGCGGACAATGGCAAGCTTTTCTCTGAATGACACCTCTGTCCCAGTAGCTAGATGCTCTGTAGACTTGGGGGGAGAGAGAGATGGGGAGCACCCTGAGGTTCTCTCACCTTGCCTCTCTTGGTTTGAAACCATTGTCTCATGAGCCAGGGAAAGGGTGATCAGGGTCTCAGTATTTTCAGCACTCTGCACCTGAGATAAGGCCTCCATTCCTTGGAAGAAAAGACCCCCCACCTCTCAACAACATTTGCTGTGGTTCACAGCAACAGGTAGCTGGGGGGCAAGATGAGAGATGCTGATGTCCTGCTCCTCCTGGCAGGAAAAGCCTCTGACTGGGAGCTAGGGGAAGAGGGAGCCCTATGCACTTGGCTGCAAGGGTCTGATGTAAACTCTTTGCTTCTCTAAGCAGGGATTGGAGAGAAAGGGAACAGGACTGGTTCAAACACAATAGGCCGCTGCCTTTTTTAACCACCTTTTTGTGGATCTGCTTGAATAAATATTTCTTCACTTGCTCTTTTACCTTAAGACCATTTTCAGAGGCTTTAATTGGTTGCCTTTTTATAATTTTTTATATCACTAGGGAACAGGTCAGCAGAGCTTCTCATGCTATCATGCTTGTAGTGGATCTCAGCATTTAATTTGGTGTTGAACTTTTATCAGAAACATAGCTTTGTACCTGTAGAGGGACAAGAAGATTTAAATGACTTGTCTTCTTTGTCTCAGCTGTTCAAAGTCGTTTTGTAATTTATAGTCTGAAAGCCTATATCTAGTAGGCTTTTGCCATTAAGTTTCGAAAAATGAACAACTTTGGAATTGTTGGTAACATTATCTTCAATAATTATTTATTGACTGTATTTTTTCTTATATAGGAGGTGTCAAAACTCCGCGCTCAACTTGCTAAAAGAAAACAACATGAAACAAAACTTCAGGAGGAGTTGAATAAAGTTCTGGGTATCAAGCACTTTCATCCTTCAGAGGCTTTTCTTCATGAAAGTAAAGAAAATTTTGTTCTCAAAACCCCGCTAAAAGAAGGTAAGAAATGAGTAAATGTCCATAAGTCTCATCTTCCTTTGGATTTCCTTTCACAGCATTGAGCAAGTTATCCATCTTTGTGAACATTTGTTAACAGTTTCTGATATAAAAGAAATTCTTACTGAGATTTTTTTGTATAAAATGCCTTTTCTTTCCTGCTTCCATACTCTCTATTCTCCATTTGTTCAAATCCCATCTGTCCTTCAAGCCCAGCTCAAGTTATATCTTCCTTGGAACCTTGTCTGACTTTTTTGCTCCTACCCACCCCCTACCAGAGTTAATCCCTCTATCATACCCTTGGCATTTTTTTTTTTTTTGCGGTACGCGGGCCTCTCACTGTTGTGGCCTCTCCCGTTGCGGAGCACTGGCTCCGGACGCACAGGCTCAGCGGCCATGGCCCACGGGCCCAGCCGCTCCGCGGCACGTGGGATCTTCCGGAACCGGGGCACAAACCCGTGTCCCCTGCATCAGCAGGCGGACTCTCAACCACTGCGCCACCAGGGAAGCCCACCCTTGGCATTTTTAACCTAAATGTCCAATTTGTAATTTTGAAGAAGTAGATTTTCCTTCCTTCTTGAGTACAAATCTCTGTATCTTTGACAGTAAACTGAAATTGGCTGAAATAGTGAATGAAGAAATATACATAAAGTTATGCTAAAGAGCACATGCATTGCTTCATTGGCCTTAGAGAAGATAGAAGGTGCCTGTTTTTAGTTCATGACTGTTGAATTCATTTTAATTTAGAAAACTAACACTGCTGTTTAATACTCCTTTCAGGCAATACAAACTGCTCCTGAGCTCTTAATGGAGTTTCAAGAATCATGCAAGTAAACATCTGAAAAGCCTGTTGAAGATTATTTCATTCTTATTATTTTTATTGTTATTGTTGCTACTTTTGTTGTTATAATTGTTTGTAATGAATATTTTTAAATCTCGTATTTAATATTAACTTCCTGTCCTTACATATGTGAAAGGAAGTTCAGAATTTTTACATTTACTAAATGTCTCTGACATTTTCGTTTCTATTGTCAGTACTTCCTCCTTGATGCTCACCCTTATTACCTCATTCTAAACCTTCTGACAGGCTTTCCAGCTTTGCAGCTCATCCCATCAAGTCAATATTCTTTTAAAAATGCTGACTCTCATACTAATATTTCTGTATTCTGAAACCTTAGGTGGTTTCAAGACTCTAATCCCCAGGTTTTTTAGTTTGGTATTGGAGGCCTTTTCTAATCTGAACCTTAAGGGCTAAAATACCTTGGCTTGGGCTTGCCTCTATTTTGATTCTCCTAATAATGTTCATTCTGTCCTACCCATCATCCATTTATCCAGTTCAAGTGAGAAATAAAGGTATGCTTAATTCTGTAGCAACCTCTTTATCTCTTACCAAAGTCACTGAGTTGGTTAATAATTTATGGATTCCTAGACCCCATCCCAGTCCTCCTAAATTAAAATCTGGGATTTGGTCTGAAAATCTGCAGTTTTAACAAACTGCGGTTAATTCTTAGAAACTCTGCTCATAACCTCTTTAGAGAATTTGTCTTATGCTGCTTGGCATCTGCCTGATTCCTGGGTGTTTGACTTATATTTAAGTAATATGAAACAAAATCACACATTAAGTCATTGACCCAATTATACAACTTGTATTATATGAAGTTACATTAATCCTTCTACTTAAGGTGTGTTTATTGTCTCTGCCCTTCCCTCCCCAACTTATCTCCAGAATCACTAATGGTAATATACTACTTAGAAAGTAGTCATTCTCCATCTAAAATATCTGATTAACACAGTTGGTATGATATTATAGTCCATCTTTTTTGTAATGTTTCCCCATTGAGGGACCAACAGAGACTATTACAGTAAGAATAACTTTTCATAATAAATTATTTTATTAGATATTAATATATAATTAAGTTCAGAGGAAATGTAGAAATTAGAAAAATTGTCTAATGAAATGAAATAGTTCAGGGCTTCCCTGGTGGCGCAGTGGTTGAGAGTCTGCCTGCCGATTCAGGGGACACGGGTTCGTGCCCCGGTCCAGGAAGATCCCACATGCCGCAGAGCGGCTGGGCCCATGAGCCATGGCCGCTGAGCCTGCACGTCCGGACCCTGTGCTCCGCAATGGGAGAGGCCACAACAGTGAGAGGCCCGCGTCCCACAAAACACAAACAACAAAAAAAGAAATAGTTCAAGACTTCTGCTTTTAGCCAAGATGGAGTAACAGCGATCGGATTTATTGCTCCTCCTCCTACCCTACTCACACACACACACACACACACACACACACACACACACACACACCCCTAAAACTATTCAAAATGACAAAATATACAAAAGAATGATTTTCAAGATGCTAGACATGAGATAAGAAACAGAACAATCCCTTAGAGTTTAGGAAAATCAAGGTGAACCCTACAATTGCTCACTCTTTACAGCCTTGAGAGAGTTTCCAAACTATGATGCAGGGAAGGGGAACCCAGGCAGAGCCCACTGAACTAACTGAGTTGAAAAGACAGAACTGAGACCTGGGGAGATGAGAAAGAGGCTAGAGATTGCAGGACAGAGTACTAGAAAGGAGAAAATTGCAGGGAGAGAGAATTCTGGAGATACACAAAGGGTCCCTCAAGTAATCACCTGAATACTGACTAGTCGTATATATAGGGAAACTACCTGAAGCCTAGGGAAGAGCCACCCTCCAAAATTAAAAGTAACAGTGCTCAAAGTTCATACAGGCTAGAAAATACTGCCTGTTCCCACAAGCCAAACTGGAAAACCTCATGATTAATAGGGCATTGAGTAGGGTATACAGAAGGGTTCAGTACTGGGGAATAATTAGTACTAAAATGAGCACTGCTCTAGTCCCACCTAACAAATCTTAACAGGAAGACCCAAAAGGATCAGATTCTTTCTAGGAAACTTAATTATCACATCCCAGAACAAAGCTCAAGAAAATTTATAGGCTTATAAAAATATCAGTCACCCAAAAAAGTAAATTTTAAAGTAACATCTAATCAAAACAAGATTCTAAAAATCAACAGAACACCAAGGTGCTCTGGGACAACTTCAAGCAGCCTAATATATATGTAATCAGAGTTCCCAGAAGATAGAAGGAGGGGACAGAAAAATCATTTGAAGAAATACAGGTGGAAACATTTCCAAATATGATGAAAACTAGAACTCTAGGAACAGTAAATATGAAACATCACAAATTGCTGAAAAGCAATGATAAAAACTCAACCTAAAACTATCTCAACAAAAATAGTTCTCAGAAGCAAAGATGAAAACTTACTTTCAGACATAAAATCTTTTTTCCTATTAGTGTCTTTAAAATATAATTGTTTAAACAAAAAGAATAGCAATGTGGTCTGTAGTTTATACATACTTAAAATTAGAGTATGACAGCAATAGCTCAAAGCCCAGGAGGGGAGAAATGCAAGTATATGATTGTAAGTTCCTTATACTATATGTAAAGTGGTATAATGTTACTTGAAGACAGACTGGTAACTTAACAATGTGTACTGTAAACCCTAACACAATCACTAAAATAAAACACTTGTAGCCAATAAGCCAACAAAGAAGATAAAACGGAATCATAAAAAAATATTCAGTTAATTCAAAAAAAGGCAGAGGGCTTCCCTGGTGGCACAGTGGTTGGGAGTCTGTCTGCCGATGCAGGGGACACGGGTTCGTGCCCCGGTCTGGGAGGATCCCACGTGTCGCGGAGCGGCTGGGCCCATCAGCCATGGCCGCTGGGCCTGTGCGTCCAGAGTCTGTGCTCCGCGGCAGGAGAGGCCACAGCGGTGAGAGGCCCGCGTACTAAAAAAAAAAAAAAAAAAAAGCAGAAAAAGAGGAAAAGGAAAACAGAACAGAGGGGTCAAAAAGAAATCAAATAGCAGTATGATGAATTTAAACTTAACCATATCAATAGTCACATTAAATGTAAATGGTCTGTATACCTCAATTAAAATGCAGAAATGATCAAATTAGATTAAAAAGCAAGACTTGACTGTATGCTGCCAACAAAAATACACTTCAAATATAATGACAAAAACAGGTGAAAAGTGCAAGGGTGTTAAAAGATACACCATGCTGAAGGGATAGGGAGACCTGGTCCCTCCTTCCTCCCACAAACACACTGATTCAGCAGCAATATAGACAAATTCCCTTTGGAAATGGGGAAAGAATAGTCTCTCCAACAAATAGTGCTGGGAAAATTGGATATCCAAATGTGAAAGAAGGAAATTGGAACCTTATCTTACACTACACAAAAGTCAACTCAAAAAGGATTAAAGGCTTAAACGTAAGACCTTAAACTAAAGCTACTGTAACAAAACCTGGAAAAGACTTAATGACATTGGTCTTGGCAACAATTTTTTGGTTATGATACCAAAAGGTCAGTCAGGCAAAGCAAAAATGGACAAGTGGGACTAGATGCAACTAAAAACATTCTGCATGACAAAAGAAGCAAAGTAAGTGTTGGCAAGGATGTAGAAAAAATAGAATTCTTATACTCTGTTGGTGGAAATTTAATATGGTGTGATGCTATGGAAAATAGGATGGAGCTTCCTCAAAAAATTCAAAATAGAACTACCCAGCAATCCCATGGATTTATGGGTATTTATCCTAAATAATTGAAATCGGGATTTCAAAGAGATATTTACACTTCCACATTCATTGCATTGTTATTCACAATAGCCAAGATGTGGGAATGGATAAGGAGAATGTGATACATACCTGCAATGGAATATTATTCATCCTTTAAAAAGAAGGAAATCCTGCCATGTGCAAGAAATGGATGAATCTTGAGGACATTATGCCAAGTAAACTAAATTAATCACCAAAGGACAAAAACTGCATGATTCCACTTATATGAGGTATCTAAAATAGAATCATAGAAGCAGCGAGTACAATGGTGGTTGCCAGGGCCTGGGTGGTGAGGGAAATGGGGAGTTGCTAATCAACAGGCATAAAATCTCAGTTATGCAAGGCAAGTTCTAGAGATCTGCTCTACAACATCATGCCTATAATTAAAATACTGTATTTTACACTTAAAATTTTATTAGAAGGTAGATCTGTTAAATATTCTTACCACAAAAATAAAAATAAAAGGATATGCCATGTTAATGTTAACCAATTGAAAACAAAAGCTAGAATAGCTGTATTAATATCAGACAAAATAGATTTCAGAGCGAAGAATATTACCAGGAATATAAAGAAGTTCATTTCATAATGATAAATGAGTCAGTTCATCAGGAGGCCCAAATCTAAACATTTATGTACCCAGTCATGGTCTCAAAATACATGAATCAAAAATTGATAGATTTGGGCTTCCCTGGTTGCACAGTGGTTAAGAATCTGCCTGCCAATGCAGTGGACACAGGTTTGAGCCCTGGTCTGTGAAGATCCCACATGCCACGGAGCAACTAATCCTGTGTGTCACAACTACTGAGCCCGTGCACCTAGAGCCCATGCTCCGCAACAAGAGAAACCACTGCAATGAGAAGCCCGCGCACCGCAAGGAAGAGCAGCCCCTGCTCCCCACAACTAGAGAAAGCCCTTACGCAGCAACAAAGACCCAATGCAGACAAAAATAAATAAATAATTTTTTTAAATTGATAGATTTACAAGGAGAAATAGAAAAATCTGTAATTATAATCAGAGATATCAATAGCCTCCCTCATTAAATTGTAGAACAAATAAATAGAAAATGAGAAAGAACATAGAAGATTTAAAAATTACTCTGAACCAACTTGATCAAATTGACATTTATAGACATCACCTAACACCAGCAGAATAC